GTGACATAATAACTTCAGCTGGATCACGTATAAGAAATATAGGATAATAATTTAATATACGATTTTTATTCATATCTTCTACTGTATTAGCCATATTTTTAACAAAAATATTTCCTTTAATATTTTCATTTTCTTCTATTTTATCATGTATTTTATTTGCATTTCCATAATATTCTAGAGTTAACATTATTTCATCATGATGTGGTTGTATTTTACCAATTCTTTTTAACCAAAGTGCATAGAATGGCTCATCGATGACAACGGTATCAGGACGTTGATTGAACGAATACATAAGAGCTGTTGAAAAATTTCGAGGACCAGAAAGAAGATAAATTATCATGATTATGTTCAACTATATCTTTTATACTTGATAAAAAATCAATTAAAACGAATAAAATCTAATCCAAAGTTTGATTATTTTATCTGCAAGGAACAAAAACAGAGTATTTTTTTGTAAATTAATATATTGATATTAGGATGCTTTAAAAACCCCGTCCGTTGAGTATGTAAGAAAACATTTGAAATACAAAAGTCTACGGTAGAAAATGTGGATTTGCAGTTTTATGAGAAGAACGTCTTCTTATTTACATAGGATAGTTTCGCAATATGTAATACTAAGTACTCTGGTTATAGAAAGTGTGGTGAGAAATGTGAACCAATGTCAAGAACACTCAGTGAAACAGCATCTCTATTTGGAAGAAACGTCATTAAAAAAAAGCGAAATTTTGATAGAAATTCACAAAAGATTCTTCTGCAGCTTAGAAGAACCCTCAAATCTCGTTGGCACATGTAATGCAGAAATAATTGTAAGGATAAGTACGTCACTAAACGACAGTAGCAATGTATTTCATCAGACAATACATGAGCGTATATATATATATTAGTGACCTTACTGCAAATTGGGATGCTATACTACAGTAATGTTTGAAGCTTCAACAAGAGTACCATGAGAATACGGTATTTTGACAAATTAAACTCCCTCCTTCTAATTGTACTTAATAGGAAGATTTTTATACCATAAATAATACTCTGTGTCAGTGATGTGTGTCATATGGTTTTAATAACAGCTTTTCGAAATGGGTTTCATTTTCAGTGCATTAATTGATTTTCATTTCGGCAATGATTTGATGAGTCATACATATATGATTATAGATTAGCTACTAATATTTTGTATTTTGATTGAAAACATATAGAATAAGAATAAAAACAACTTTTTATTGAAAGACGTTTATAACTATTTACAATAAAAGTTTTCAGATAGCATAATGAGAGCAGAATGAATTGAATATTTTTTGGATGAAAAGCATTGTCTTATCTAAAGTCGTTGAGAAAAGGGAACAAAATAGAGATAGACTGACACTGTTTATACTAACAATGTGTATATTGGGCATTTTTCGGCGTAAGCAGTGTATATCATAGTGCATAACAAAGGAGTTCTTTTAAATAAATAAATTAAAAAAAGAAAACAATTTTCTTGTTTGGTAAACACTATCTTCTTTGATAATAAAAAAAGTCTACCTAAAATTCATCTAATTCTAATGAAAAAAAAAATTATTTTACTCAGCAATTTGTACTGAGTACACTCGGCTTTATGATCAATGTCTGAAAAAATGAGAATATCAGAAATAGTCGATCTTTCGCATATTTTACTTCGAATTGGTATATTTTTCTAGCAGAAACATTAATTAAGAAGACAGATTGTTCTATGTAAAAATTGTATCAGTATTGACACAACAGCATCTAAAAAATTTACCTGGATTTTCACAAGATGGAACAAATTGCTATAATGAATTATATTACTGTCTAGTATATATTTATAATGGGAGAATAGATAATCATGTGTCATATGAAAATGAATCATTGAAGTGAATCAATCGTAAAAAGTATTAGTAATATGAGGAGAGTCGATGAATAAACAACCGAGTACAGGTATCTTATGGTGATTTGCATCGTTCTTACATACATATGCAACTTATGCTTCAATAATATGCTGTCATTATCTTTATTCATTGTATGTTATTCATATAAAGTGCAAAGAGGTAGAAAATAAAGTACAGCTTGATATTACAATGCTGATTTTATTAAAATATATTTAATACTGACAAGATCAATACTCGTATATGATTATTCGTCGTCAATGTTTTAAGTAGAACAATTTTTGAAATTTTCAAGAACGATTTGTGTTGTGTCTTTGCTTTACTTAAGTTCTACTTCTGTACACTATGAAAACAGTTAGATACATTCTAAAAAAATTGACATATTACACTGATAGATATTATTGTTTATTAGAAATAGTTAATGTATTCAAAATGCTTGTACATGATATAAAACATCAGAAACAATTGTTGGTTTTGAATTGAGATAACATACAAACGAAAATTTATTATTATCGGGACATAATACTTGTTGAAGTGCTTCTTCAAAACTTGAATTAATTTCATCATCATTAATAGATAAATATTTTATTGGATCAATAAATTCATTTCCATTTACAAAACAAACCAAAGAATGTAATGGTTTGTATTTATGCGAACTTGATAAGAAAATAAATTCGGGACGAATCGAAATTGATGAATTTTCGAATGTGTTGTCACAGCTATTTGAGCATTCATCATTTCGAAACTGATTTTGGTATTAAAAGATTACATTTTTAATACCTCCAATAATATATATTCCTATGAATGGAAACATGTTCCATATTTTTCGAATATTCAATGGAAAAGACTAGTTTAATATCTTCAACTTTCCAGCTGAGCTAAAGGGTACTATGTATTCTATTGAATAATAACTAATTGAAAAATTTGTTTAATATTAATTGATTCTTGTTTCATGATATATTCCATTACCATCTGTTACATAAATTTTTTACTTGTCGACTTCAAACAAGATTTCACCTATCCACATTACTCAATGGTACGCTCAGCATTCTTCACTTTTAAATTCAAATTTTCTCCACCTATGAATGACCAAGATCCGGTCATCTACATATATAGTTATACATATGAGTGAATTGCATAAACATTGTACGTTTGCCAGTTGGAGAATATTTTTTCCATAAAAGCTATTCTATTCAACAAATCTTTAAATTTTTTAACTCTTTGAGTTGGTTTAGAAATAATTATTTATTTATGAGAACAAAGAACTTTTCATCTCGAATGAATGATCCGATATATATCGAAGAAAACAAAGACATACCTGCTTTTGGCTTCATATGGAGAAAGAATCTTATTTTTTCTATTATTTATATAAACTTGTTTTAAAAGTTTTTAGTGTTTCTCGTAGCTTGAAAAGCAGGATTTCGAAATATGTACTTTGAATTTTAAATAAAATTAGGTTTCGATCTGATTCTATAAAAAATCTCAGTTTCAACACATTTTTTACAAATTCTGTCGTCCATCGAGATTAGTACCAGGTCGACCTGCTAATGACAAACTTCCAAAAAAACTGTGAAAACAGTCCGAGAGATAGAACATGACAAGCTCTATATTTTAGCATAAACATTAAATTATCAGAACATCTTATGCAATCAAAAATCAACATGAAACATGTATTCAAGATGGTTTTCTGTACAAAATGCTCACTCGATATTTTCAAAAAATTCTTTTGTTTCTAAGTCCGAAAGAGACTGTCTGTTAGATCCCCATAATCTTATCCTTCTTCTTGCATTTTTTTCTTAGAATTCATGGTAGAAGTTTCAACTGTCTAGCTTACCTTGTCATAGAGAAAACCTTATTTTATATCGAAATACTGCACCGGGATATATTTGCATATATATTTCGACTAAAATCACTGCAGGTTCCAACTCATTATACATCCTACGATCCACTGAAACTTAGCCTGTTCACCTCGAATCAAAAACATTTTGTGGGTTCTATAGTCAATTTCTATGCAATAAGCTATTGTTCTCTGAGGAGTGCATCAATTTTAAATCTCGAAATTGACTGGAATTCGTCAGGAACTGGTCAAAACTGGCTTCGGTTAAATGTAGAATTTCACAGACTACCACTTTATCAATTACTCAGTAAGTGAATAATCATAAAATTCTGAATCTTAGTCTTTCGTTAAGGGTAGCCATTCTGAAGAAGTAACAATTATTGCTGAAGTTTGACTGGAGATTTTTGGAGTTGGGAGATCTGAATCTGCACTAAGTTTTCCAAAACTCGGTACTTCATTTTTTTTTTATTATAGGAAGAGTTTTGGAGCAAAATAACGATTTTTCATAGTTTTATTACAGATGTTCGTGGTAAAGTTTACTTAATCAAGAAATGAACTACACAATTTCGAGAACCTGCTTGCAGATTCGGATTCCCTGATCCCAAAAACCTCTGATTAAACGTTATGAAAAAAAATTGTTGTTTCCTCAAAACGGCTTCAGTTCACGAAAGGTTAAAATCCAGAATTTCGACGTTACTCGGTTAGTAAATTACTGCTTAGATTGCTTTTATTCGAAAATTTTCTATCGTCACCTTTTTTTGCTAAGTTCTACAATGAACACGCAACTCACTCATATATATATGATAGCTAGTCAAAATCAAAGCATGTTTTGATAGTATTATTTTTCAGACACAGCTTCGACATCTAATCTTTCGATTTTTTAGATCGAAGCAGTTCATTTGACAAAAGCAAATATCTTTCAAGAGATTCGGAGACACAAGTGGAGATCTTTCCTTGTCGAACAACACTGCTGATTTTGGATAATTGCACATATCTAAATTGTTGTCTCTGTAAAATTTGTCAGCATCTTTTTTATTACACAAAGAAATAAATAAAAACTTTTTATTATATTTAATAATTCAAGAATCTTTCCAACTGAAACTTCACTATATCAAGCTGAAGCCCAAACACCATCGATAGGTTTTGGACCAGCTGGCCATGATAACATTTCATCTGTATATGATAAATCTAATTGTTTACATGTTTCGATTAAAACTGATCTTGGATTTTTTCTTAATTCATTACCATTAATAACAATTGGA